TGTTTGAGTTTTGTCAGCTCGTCATGCTTTGTTGGAGCTTTGTCAGCTCGTCATGCTTTGTTGGAGCTCTGCCAGCTCGTCATTCTCTATTGGAGCTCTGTCAGCTCGTCATGCTGTGTTGGAGCTCTTTCAGCTCGTCATGCTTTGTTGGAGCTTTGTCAGCTCGTCATTCTCTGTTGGAGCTCTGTGAGCTCGTCATGCTATGTTTGAGCTTTGTCAGCTCGTCATTCTTCATCGAAGCTCTGGGAGCTCGTCATGTTATGTTTGAGCTTTGTCAGCTCGTCATGCTTTGTTGGAGCTTTGTCAGCTCGTCATTCTCTGTTGGAGCTTTGTGAGCTCGTCATGCTATGTTTGAGCTTTGTCAGCTCGTCATTCTTCATCGAAGCTCTGGGAGCTCGTCATGCTATGTTTGAGCTTTGTCAGCTCGTCATGCTTTGTTGGAGCTTTGTCAGCTCGTCATGCTTTGTTAGAGCTCTGCCAGCTCGTCATTCTCTATTGGAGCTCTGTCAGCTCGTCATTCTCTATTGGAGCTCTTTCAGCTCGTCATGCTGTGTTGGAGCTTTGTCAGCTCGTCATGCTTTGTTGGAGCTTTGTCAGCTCGTCATTCTCTGTTGGAGCTCTGTGAGCTCGTCATGCTATGTTTGAGCTCTTTCAGCTCGTCATGCTGTGTTGGAGCTTTGTCAGCTCATCATGCTTTGTTGGAGCTCTGCCAGCTCGTCCATGCAGGGTCTCAGCTCATAATTCTTTTTGAAAGGCTCACCAAATAAAGATTTGGATCTTGCCTAACCCGAGTGGAGATTTGGCTCTTGCACAACCTTGCTCATTTATTGATGGGGCCTTCAAGTGGTAAATAAAACTCTGATGTAAGAGCTCACCAAATGGAGATTTGGATCTTGCTCAGCCGTGCTCATCTGTTGACGAGGTCTTGGGGCAAGCTCAGTTCACCAAATGGAGATTTGGATCTTGCTCAGCTGTGCTCATCTGTTGACGAGGTCTTGGGGCAAGCTCAAGGAGAACACTGATGTAAGAGCTCACCAAATGGAGATTTGGATCTTGCTCAGCCGTGCTC